GGACCAAATGATTTCACTGCTGAATTTTATCAAACATTTAGTGAAGACCTAATACCCATCCTCCTTAAAGTTTTCCAAAACGTAGAAGAAGAGTGAATACTCTCAAACTCATTCAATGAGGCCAGCATCACTCTAATACCAAAACCAGGCAAAGACACCACAAAAAAGAAAATAATAGACCAATATCCCTGATGAACATAGATACAAAAATACTCAACAAAATATTAGCATGATTGGTATCATGATTGGTGCACATGTTGTGTGTGGGGTCATGGGGAAGGCAGTGTAGCTCAGAGAAGACAAATAGGGACTCTGTGGCATCTTACTACACTGATGGACAGTGACTGCAATGGGGCATGGGGGAGGACTTGATAATAAGGTTGAATGTAATAATAACCAGTTTTTCTTGTGAAACCTTCATAAGAGTGTATATCAATGAGACCTTAATAAAAATAATAATAATAAACAAAAATGCAAAAAAACAAAGAAACAAAAAGAAAAAACCAACAACAGCCACCCCAAGGGTCATCAGAGGTAACTTAAGAGCATTCCAGTTGTCCAAATAGTTACCATCAGCAGTAGTGATGCCCGGGTCACCGCTGATGTCCTATAAGAGGGAAAAGTAAATTAATAAAGATTTAGAAGTAAATTTGATAGTTTTAAATTAACAATATTAAGAACTGTCTGGTCCCTGACATGTTGACTGGCCAATGTACTCACACCTGCTCTGCATTGTTTAAGCTCTGGAGTCCAGAAGCCACGACAACAGAGCTGATCAGAAAAAGGGAGCTGCGGCGGGAGCGGTTCTCGTACGATGTGGACTTTGATGACTTCATGATGCCCTTTCAGAAGAACATCACAGAGAAAGCTCAAGCCTTGGAAGCAACCTTCAAGACCTAAATCACAGCAGTTGTTTCTTGGGGTAAACATTTCAAGGCCCAGACACCAAACTTTGGAGAAAGTAGATACTTCCATCAAAGCCAAAGCAGTCCTCAAATTAAGAATTTATAACCAAATCTTTGCTTTTGCCTTAACAACTATAAATATTTTGAAGCCTCTGGGTTGATGATTTTATTGCTGTTCCTATTATGTTATTAGTGTAGTTATAATGCTCCAGTTTTCTCACCCAGGGGCCATTGTGGAAAATGGGGAATGTGTAGATTTTGAAGCAAAATATCTGGAGGTGTGGGCTGTCTGTAAAATTGCAGTATTTCCAGAATCTCTCACCTGGCTTTCATGCATCTCCATATCAATAGGTGTTTCCAAGGGGTGGAGAGAAGTAGCCTATTTATATATCAGTAGGTAATCTTTTGCCCTGGGATTTTCCAAGAGTTATACAAAGTCTGTCATTCCAAAACTGTTATTGCTCAACATTTTATCTCCAGAATTTAGAACAATATCTAGCATGTTGCATGTGTTCAGTAAATATTTTCTGAATGTGTGAATGAATGGTGTCCCATTCAGATGCCAGGTACCTCTGGCATCTATGGAAAGGAAGTATGAATAACCTTTTCCTCCTTTCTAGGGTTTCAGAAGCGGATGGAGTAACATGCAGGAAAGAAGAAATGAACATAGAGCTTATTTTTTTTTTTATAAGAATTCAGTTTTTTCTGAAAAGACTAGGAAAATGTTCTTTAGTCAGGACACCAGCTAGATAGACTGAAGGCTGTTGGCATGGGGAGACTGGAGATGGGCTAAACAGATGTGAAATATTATATTTGATTGGTTAGGGTTGCATATTTGGCTTTCTTTGGTTGGGTCTAAGTTGGAAAGAGAGACAAAAATTACAAAAGCTGACTTATTAATCGAGTCCTGGCCATGATAGGCCAATTGCTATAGGGGTTATTGTTTGGTTTCCTGGATTGTTGTAGTAGCGATAACAGTCTGACTTCCCATGAGTCTAACTTATAGCAAGATGGCTTTCTGGCTGGTTATTACAGATGAAGAGATTGGTTTCCTGGGAAGGTTGCTGTGGGTTGTGGGTCAGAATTCTATTTTTATATTTGATCTGTGCCTTGTCTGTTGTATATTCAGTCTCTCTGAAGTAGCGAAAGGCCAGAAAGGGGAGGAAATCTCCCTTCTCTATGGCTATCTCACTCCCGTTGTAGGTGCAGCTTTCAAGATCAGAAGCTTAAATGTGAGGAAAGGAGCACAAGTAGGTCCCCCTTGCCAACCAGTCTTGAAAATTCCCACTGAGGATTTATCCCAAAAGTCATCAAGAAAAACAATGTGTACAACACCCCCCCTCAAAAACAACTAGAGTTCAAATTAAAATGTGTGTCTAGCACAGAGAAAATTTCTAAGTGAGACAAATTTCCCTATGAAAACATGAATGACACATTATTTTGCAGTACCCTGTCATGGGGGATGTGTTAATACAGGAGTGAGCCTGGCAAAGAGGGAGAGACCAAAGCTGAGAGCCCAAGAGAGGTAACTTGCTCCACTAGAGCTGTGTATGACCCACAGGGACCTGGAGAATACCACTGCTAACTTTACCTTTGAAATAGACTGTATTGGCCATTCCAGTATCGCACACGCAAATCTCTTAGCCTTCCTACTTGATTTGTGTTTCTCATCATTCTGTTGATGGGCTGGCTTTAGCAGAGTATGCCCTGGTTAATATTCATTATGATTGATTTTACAGTATGACCCTAGTCTCAGCGGACTGATGCCAGTGAAAAGGAAAGGTATTTAGGAAACCAGCCAAAATACTGATACTGCACCTATGAAAAATGGAACCCCAAATGCCCTGATATCCACTCCAATTTTCCTGGTTTACCTGGTGTTAATTGCTTCCTGGCCTTACTCCTTAGAATGGACCTTGAAATTTCATATCCTGTTCACTTGGAAACCTGGCATTTTAGCCCTTTCCACGGTATGGAAGTGGATGCATTTTTATTTTCTGTTTTTGGGCTTTACTAAAGACAGTTCAATTAACCTTTGAGTACTAAGTTTGACAATTCTGACTTGGCATCTAACCATTTTCTTATATTTTCTCCTCTACTGGAGTCTTGGTGGAAAGAATAGGAAATTAGCATGAACAATTCACTTATTTCCTAAATCAAATCAGGCAATGGGAATTCATGCAAGAGTTATTACTGTTTTTTGAAGTTGAATTTTTTTTTTGAGAGGGCATCTCTCATATTTACTGATCAAATGGTTATTAACAACAATAAAATTCTGTATAGGGGGGTCAATGCTCAATGTACAATCATTAATCCATCTCAAGCCTAATTCTCGTCAGTCTCCAATCTTCTGAAGCATAACGAACAAGTTCTTACATGGTGAACGAATTCTTACAGAGTGAATAAATTCTTACATGGTGAACAGTACAAGGGCATTCATCACAGAAACTTTCGGTTTTGATCATGCAATATGACCTATAAACCATCAGGTCAAATATGAATATTCATTTGATTTTTGTACTTGATTTATATGTTGATTCCACATTTCTCCCTTTATTATTATTATTATTTTTATTTTTAATAAAATGCTGAAGTGGTACGTAGACGCAAGATAAAGGTAGAAAACATAGTTTAGTGCTGTAAGAGAGAAAATGTAGATGATCAGGTGTGTGCCTGTGGACCAAGTATTAATCCAAGCTAGACAAGGGCAGCAAAACATCCACGGATGCAGAAGATTTCTCTCAAAGCAGGGGGGAGTGGGGTTCTGAGCCTCACCTCTGTTGATCCCCAATTTCTCACCTGATGGCCCCCCTGCGACTGTGCCTGTTTTAGGTTGTTCCTCCCTTGAGGAATCTTACCCGTCTCTGGCTAACCAGTCATCTTCCGGGGCCATACAGGGAAATGTAAAGTTGGTGAGGGAGAAGCCGTATTGTTTGAAAAGGTTAGCTTTTTTACTTCTTTGCAGATTTATGCCCTGTGGCTTCTATGCCCAGCATTTGTCTTGAGGTATCTTTACCACCTGGAGGAATTATGATCATCGGTAAATTCGATATGAGGCACGAATTCTATTTAAGGGTTGTAATTAGGAAGGAAGAAGAAAAGCTATAGAGGTAGCATATGGAAGAAAACATAGGAGGACCAACCACCTCATTGACACATCTTCCTGCAGAGCACCCCAAGCATGCACAGGCTTCAAATCACCAACCAACCTGCACCCACACACCAACACAATAGGAACACGGTGACACAAACAGAGCAAATCTATAATTACCATCCATCTCCAGTGAAGCCAAGAAAACCACCCAGGCACCCCAGGCACCCGTGAAAATTTGTCTATGATATGATGGACACCGTCCAACTGTACCCGAACAGTCTGAGAGAAATCAGACAAACCAAAGCAACCTAACTCTGGGATCTGCTCACACCCCACATGCTCCTCCAACCACAGACAGTCCACAGTCATAAGATTTTGGAGGGCTACAACTTGCACCCCTCCCAACTCCCGGCCGAGCCCCAACAGCACAGACCTGGTCAAACTCGCTGTCTCACTGCATGCACACGCCAGCCCAGACATCTCCCTCCCCACTCCAACGGCAAATCCAGGAAACAGTGGGGCGGATGCAGCCACAACCATAGTATCATCCGGATCCCTGCGGAGGCTCCTTGATAATCATCCCCCGGTACAAGTCCTCCAGAGAGTGCCGACGCCAGAAGCTCCCCCTCACATCGTATCTTAGTTCATTTTCTGGGTAGCCAAGCTAGGCCCCGATCCCGTGCATAGAAACAAACAGACCCTTTGCCCACACTCCAACACGCCCTCCACACCACCGTGCAGAACTCACTGGAGGTCACCATACAGGAACT